ATATTCGGCGTTCGTCAAAGAAATAGCCAAACATTCGCAAAATATTCCGGTGCCTTAGATGTGTCTGGATCTCGATTTCGCGACGTAGTTGATGCTCTACCCCGCCTTTAAGAAGTTGAGATTTGCGTAATACCTTCAAGGCTACCACGTACTTACTTCGCCGCTCTCGCGCCAAATAGACCATTCCAAACTTGCCCCGTCCAAGCGGACGCCCGATTTCGAAGTCCTGCAGACACCATCCACGTGCTGGTGCGTCTTGAAGGTGGGAATGGGGGAGGCACGATGGCATGGATGAAGTGGAAGTAGAGGAGACGGACTGCATGATGGGCTACGGTTTGGAGACGAAACTGCCAAGCGGCAGAGGGGCTGTTTCTGTGCATGCATGCCGACCAGTGTAAGACACTAATACTTAGATTCCATGCATACGCATGCCACACGACGCTCAGACGGGCAGGAGAGGCTGAGGCACGGAGGCTCTAGGCCTGGCCAGGGAAACGAAACTGCCGTGGGGCAAGCGTCGTGATCCACGGCAATCCAATCAACGGCTGAGGGCGATGACGTCAATCCCTCCTCATGGGAAAATACCAAGAAAGCCCTGGACGGTGTGCAGGCCGACGCCTTCAGGAAGCATAAGGGATGCAGGTTTCGTGCTAGAAGTGGCAAAGCACGATGTCTTTCATAGGCATGGGAAGCTTGTCGAACCCGTTGTTGAATAAGTCGCGCTTATTTGTGTTCTGTTTTCTCACTCTTATCATCACCGCTAGGTACACTGTCAACACAGAGGCATGAAGCGTTACTGTTCAGCCTTTGTATTTGTGCCCTTTTTCCTCGTCGTCGCGTGTCTACTTTCCGTTGCCATGGCCAATGATGCTGGGGGGGGGCACAAAAAGCTTGGGGAGGGCTTCACGGATTTCACAGTGCCGAGGAGACCAGCAGCCACGGTGGGAGAAAGCTTGGGTTTCGTGGCCTTGGTTGTGGGCGTCCTCGCTCTGGCGGGAGTAACCACTCATTTCAAGCTAAAAAGCAGTCCAAATGGCTTGCCAGGATACTCACAGGCTGTTTACATGCGCGAGCAACAATGAAAGGCAGACTGTGTAATTAGAAAAGAAGACGCGTCGGGTGCGGGCTGTGTACAACGAGGTGAAGATCTCTAGGAGTCAAAAGTCACGGGCCGAGTCTCTAATCGATGAGTGGTGTACAAACTGAGTGTCAAACTCATCGGTGCGACTCTGTCGGGCAATAGCAGTCGAATAATTTCAGCCCTGAATTAGCATCCCAAGATGTCATGCGCACACTTTTTCTTTGTTGTTCATTTCCATTTTACCACTGCTACCAACCCATCACATCTCTCTTTGACTACTTCCCTACACTTGATCTATATGGTCAGACTTGGTGTCTGCTTCAAGAGCTCTTCCCTCTTCTTTTCCTTCTCCTCTACAGCGTCCCCCTTCCTCCACAAAAAGGGTTTCTTCCCGTCGGGCCCCACCCCCTCTCCCTTCATCTTCAGCCGTTGATACAAATCCACACCGTATGTGTGAGGCAACACCCCCAGATGCCGGGCCTGCTTTATCGTGCGCGCCACCTTTCGTTGGCATTTCGCACACAATCCTGACATGCGCCGCGGCTTGATCATCCCCAGGGGCGAAACGAACTGGGCGAGCACGGCCACGTTGCTGAACTCCAGCTCTCCCAGGTCGATTTTCTTGCATAGCAATGGCTGGTTTCCCCGCCGTTGCAGCTTCCCACGACAAACACCCCCGACCTCTGCCTCATTCATAGCCCTCACTTCCTCCGGGGAAAAGACGCGTTCTCCGCCGGCAGGATACAGGCGATCGCTCTCATCTGGGAGCGTCGTCTCCAGATTGCTTGGCCAGTAGAAGTCTGGAGGACCCTCTCTGTGGTTGGAGGAAAAAAAGCCGGGAGGAGCCAGGACAGTGAGTGGACCGAGAGCGGGACCAGCAGCAATGTAAGAGAGCCAGGGTTGCGCCCACGAGTTATGATGCCAGAGACATGCTGTTTGGATGTAACAAAATTTAAAAGTCCACATCACTTCAGTAGGAGCCTTTAAGGCGAGAAGGGCGGGACACATGATGGTTCTGGTTTAAAGGATCATACTTACAACCCAGCGGCACGCGGATAGAGTTGTGGGGGCAGGAGGCCCTCTTCCCATGCCTCCGTCATTTCTTTGCTAATATGCTTGATTCCAAAGATGTTTCTTGGCACTGTGACGCGACCAGTCTTCTCCATCTCCGTCTCGATGGCCTCCGCATCCTCCTCGCGCATATCAGGGGACCCATGTCCGCCGATTTCCGAGTTCTTCCACTTAGCTTTCAGTTCCCTAAAACCAAAAGGATCTTTCTCTTTGATAGCTGCTGCGGCAGCATCTGATGTTGCCGTGGCGTCGCTGTCTCCGCCATATTCCCCGTCTCTACCAGAACCACCTTTGCCAGCACCCCGCCCTGCAGCTGCGAGGTTCCGGGCCTGACAAATTACGGCTCGGGACGAAATCGTGCCGGCCCTAGAATTTAATAGCGCAAAATTTCGGAGCAGCATAACAGGCACGACCTGTTCTGAGAAATATGCGAATGCGATGGTGTGATGAAAGGCGAATGGCTATATCCTCAAACCAGGGCGAGTACCGGTTAAATGGCGTCCTTCCGTACCACAACCGCATTGCAAGCGCAAGTGTACATGCGACACTGCTGCCAACAAAGCGCTCCAAACAAGATGATGAGGACGAAGGACTTCGAACTTTCTCCCGGACGGTGCGCCCTACGGCCTCCCAGCACACCTTCTCCCTCCGTCCCATGGCCAAGCCCGTCCCGGTGCTCGCCGAGGCGCTTAACCTCCTCCCTCCCCCTCCCTCCCGTCCAATCCCATCCGCTTCATGCTCGATTTGGATGCATCACTCACGCATATTTTCCCTGATTAACACTCTTAAGCAATTAAATTAAGATGGTGCCAATGATGTCAGCAGCGCCTGGTTGGATGCCGTTATCTGGCGATGAAGGTGCTTTTACACCCCAAAATGATCCTACCCTCCATGGGGACGTACAAGACGAGCGCTACCTTATCAAACCCGATTATGACGACGGCGCCCCCACAGAAATGTTTGATCCTTTAAACGTTTGGTTGACATCGCTTCCGCCTCCTTCGACGCCTAGTGCCCTGACGCCACCACGCAACCTTCCAGCCATCAAGCCATCGCCTTGCTTATCCCCAATTGGTTCGACAGATGCTTCCATGCTGCTTCCCCTTTTTTTCGAGTCCCCGCCGAGCAAAGATACACCCCTTTCACCGTTTCAACTGATATCGCCAACCATGTCTCCTTTGAAAACCGCATTCGTTCCTGAGACTGTTATTGGGAGCGGCAGCGGCAGCATGATTACTCTCGATGGACCATACATCGTCCAAGGCCCGAACAAGAATGATGATAATCTTTTCAACAGGAAGAGCGAGACGTTTTGTGGTCTTACATCTCCCCTGTCTGCAAATCTCCTGAAAGCACGACTAGAGCCACCACCAACGCAAAGGAAAAAAAGTTGTCTGATAAAGCAGCAAGGTGCAGGAAGCGAGGCTGCACCTATGCTTGTGGAGATAAAAGGCGTTTGGACGAACGATCTATCCATATTATCACATTCTCCTTATAAAGCCCCACTGGTCAAACGATTGTTCACGGATGATTATTGTGATGATGAGCCGGATAATGGAGTGGATATGGCGGAAGAGGGAAACGTGGAAACGGAACATCACCACATGGACTGGCAGCAGGCGCCATCCGACGAGACGACCACTCGCACTAAGCGTCATAATCAGGAAACTTTCGACTCCAATGTCCAAATCACGCCTGCCCCAGCGACGAAGGTACTCTGCTTCGGCTCTGCCTCCCTTCCTGCGGGGAAAAGCGTGTTATTGGACAAGGTCCTCCGAGGTTGCGTGGCCAACTTTCTGGGGCCACGCCCCCCTCGTGAATGGATGAACAGGGTCGCTAGCCTCGTAGGCGTTACAAACAAGCAAGTTGAATCCAAATGGTCGAATATTCGTCAGCGGAACATCGATAAGGACGGCCGCCCTAAGCCCATGCCAAGGGACACGTCTTCTCTGATAGACGAAGCCAGCGCCGCCGCCGTCGTGGCACGCTTAAAGACCGAACTCAAAGTCTTTACGGAACAGCTTGCATGCGGTAAAAAGCCATGCCTTGATGAAACTGCCCTGGAGGCGGCTGCGACTGCCGCAACTGCTGCCTATGCCGCTGTTTCCGATGCTGCTGCCGGTGCCGACCCTCCCGTCTCTCCAGGCTTTTCTGCTGCCTTTTCGATGAGCATGTATGACCGCACGCCATTTTTGAGAGACGGAGGGAACAGTGCTATGACCACGGTGGCGGCTTCTTCTACTGCGCGACAATCGCATGGTGGACGAGAGCGAGCGCTTTTGACACCAGTCACTTCTATAGCTCACGATTTGATGGCAAGCGAAACAAACGGAACGAAAATCCTCCTATCATCGACAAAAAATAATGCGGATTCTGACAGCATGCACCGCAGCAATATACGGAACGGCAAGACGAAGGTAACAAAAAAAGGGAAATCAGGCAAGCCTGCTACAGCGGCCGCGGCCGACTTGAGGACAGGCCGAATGCCCATGCCGACGCCCGCACAGCTTCGACAAGTCGCGGAGGAAACAGGACTGGGACTGCAGGAAGTGTTGAATGTCTTGAGGAAAGTTCGAGCCGTAGGTGGCGAGACCCATGTTGGAACGAGAGCCTGAAGGGTGAGAAAAATTGTTTACCGAAATCATGGCAACAATCGGTTTAGTTTCTGATAGCTAAAACCATAATGCGCCTCTGGAGGTACCCGCGGCGACAAAAGAGCTATGACAAAAGCAGATAAAAGGTTGAAAAGGGAGGGCGCTTCGACCCAACGAGTGCAAACATATCGACACCTGAACGAGTCACGCGACAGCTAGCTGGAGAAAAAAAATCTCAGTTGCAATGAAATACTCGACCATGACGTCACTTTGACGCTTTTTGTGTCTATTTTGTAAAGCCCTATCCCTTCATCTCACCAGTCTGCCTCGCATGTTCTTCCCCCCAACACTTTTTTCTATCCAAACGTGTTTCCCTGCCATGCAAAGTTTGCAGCCGCTGCGTCAGAAAATTGAATGAAGACTCTATTGGCAGGAATGCCCATGTGCTTCTCCACCAAAGCGGTAAGCTCTTTAGCGGCTGGTTTATTGGTCTCTGGTCCAATATGCCCAATGCTGGCAAGGTAGAGAAATGCAGCGTTGCCAGGCTGACCGGCAAAAGACATCGAGCTTGGGCACACCGATACCATGACATAGCTCTCTGCTTTGCCTAGCGTTACACTTACGGTCTTCGAGGCCTCTGCCAAAAACGCCGCCTTTTCATCCGCGGGCAGCTCCCCCCCCGTGTGGTGGACGATCAAAGTTGGCTTGACCACGACGCTCGTGCGGGCAAAAGAACGAGCGTACGGAGTGCTATCCACATGTGTAGTGAGAGAGATCGGACGATATGCCATGAACGCATTAACTTGGTGCATTTGCGCGATCAAGAAAGCTACGAGGGGTAACAGAAGCACCCCTCCTCCTCCGAAGCGCATGGCCAGTAACCAAATGTGAAGCTGAGAATTTTGCCGCTGGGAGCAAAATGTGAACGGAAAAGAGAGTTAATGGACACGTTAGAAGATAGCTAGTGACCAGCGGATGGAGAAAGCATAGGTGGGAAAGACCGTCGTTGGAACAAGTCTCAGCTTCAACTTGAGGCTGCAGTTACCGGGGAACCCTAATCCTTTCCTTATGCCTTGGGGGGTACGCGGTGGGATACTAAGCGCTCTCGCTCGCTATATCCGGTGTATATAAGCATGCCTTGAACGTACGGCAATGAACCGTGGCTTTATCGTGATTGCATTCAATGGTTTGAGGTCGGGCCCGGCGGCGAGGCACATGCTAGCATCTTCGGGACTTTCCTCATATTTCAAAACCAAGGCTAACTTTAGCAAGACCTCTCCATCTTTCTCAATTAATCGAGCTATTGGCCGCTTTTTTCTTTTTTAAAATACACATGTGTAAATTGTCATGAGTGGGCACAGACATGTGACACCTACAAATACAAGAAAATAGAGGGTTTGAGAGGCTCCCTTTCCTACGCCTCATCTAGAGCTTCCCTCATCATCCGTGGCAAATCATTGAGTATACGCCGTCCTTCCGCCACATAGATGGTTTCATGACTACGGACCAGTCCCTGCAGTAGCAGTCGTACCTCTGTTTCCACCTCCTCCACTGAGTCATACCCCCCTGGGCGTTCATTGCGCGCAAGAATACCTGTCCACGTCACAGCGCCATTTCCCGAGCCCCCTGTCCTCCCACTCCTTCGAGGACCGCCTCCGTTCATATTTTCCCCGTCCCTGCCTACGGAAATGGATGGCAGGATC